TTCAATATTAAGGTTTAAGTTTAGTGCTGATGCACCACAGGTTCCTTGAGCATCTACATTGGGTTATACTGAAATTGGAAAGCTTTCGATTACTGAAATTGGAATTTTGTTTGTAATTTTGATAAGAATCATAATAACATACAGAGGAATCTGAATAGAAGAGAGTAGAACTCAATTTAGGTTGTAAACACTTCATTTTTATTTTATTTTTGTTTGTTTGTCCTAGTAGTATAAGTAATAGTAGTAGTAAGGATGCCCCTGTGAGCTTAAAAATAGGATTTCAGCCCTAGTATTGGGGATTTAGCGTGGCTTTCTTCCTTTCTCTCTAAATTAGGCTGTGTTTTGATCCTTTTTCCATAATGGTCTCATAATTTCTGGTGTAATCATTATTTTTAGAAGAGAATTTTCTAATATCCCTGAAATTGTTTATGCCTTTTCCATACAGCTCTTGTCTCTATTTTGTCATTACCCTGATCAGATTTCCTCTATTCCCAACTACATCCTCCATAATGCTTCCTTTACTTTATTTGGCTTATTTGAACTTGCGAATTCCATTCAAGAACAATCTGATCACTTGTAGTCTCTTGACACCTATTGTTGTTTATTTGCAGAATCCATACTCAGTCAACATAATTCTAGCTGGTTTTGACCAAGACACTGGACCATCACTATACTTTATTGACTACATAGCAACTCTTCACAAGGTAGATAAGGCAGCATTCGGCTATGGTTCCTACTTTGCTCTCTCCATGATGGACAGGCATTACCGTAGTGATATGTCAGTTGATGAGGCCATCAAACTAGTTGATGATTGCATAGTGGAGATCAGGACTAGGTTGGTTGTAGCTCCACCTAATTTCGTGATCAAAATCGTTGATAAGGATGGAGCTCGTGAATTCGCCTGGCGTGAATCCATTAAGGATCAGGCTGTTGCAGATGCAAATGCTGCTGCTGTTTCTGCTTCTGCCTGAGGGTATCTGGTTGTTCAGTAGTGAAAAATAGGTCTTTTGTACTTTCTGAAGGTGGTAGTGTTGATGTAACAGGATGATTTTCTATGTTTAAAACTGTATGCCCTTACTTTAAATTTGTCATCTTGAGATTTTACTCCACTGTTATCACTAATGCTGAAACAATTATCAAATTGATTGATCTGATTCAATTATCACCATGGTAATCTTAATTTGCCTGAGAATCGTGGAAGGTTGAGTGAACACCTCACCATCTCCATTCTACATATCCCTATTGCTTGGCCTTCCCACTGTACTAGTTGGAACTCTGAGCCTAGCATTATACGACTACAAAGTGCGTGTTGGCATGAGTAACGAAAAGGAAATGGAATGTAAACAAATAAAGAGAAAAGGTATTATAAAGTGTTGCCATTATTTGTTGGTTGATATGTAGGGGTGTAAATGAGCCGATACGTTTGTGAAGTGCTCGCGAACAAGCTCGGTCAAAGCTTGATCAAAATTTGTTTGTTAAGCTTATATTTTTTGATCTAATATTGAATAACTTGCATTAAGTTTTTGCTAATTTCAAACTCAATTCGGATCCTTAAGAGCCAAAATGACCCTTAAAACCTTAACAAAATATTTTTCAGCATGCAAATTGATAAAAAAAAAAAAAATTAAGTGGCAAGTTGTTTTACTTTTGAGTTGTAATTTGCAATTCTTTTATTAAAAAAAAAAAAAAAAAAATTGCTGCAATTTGCAATTTTTTTTTTAAATGGCTGCACTTTGTAAAATACAATTTTTAAATAGTTGCAATTGACAAATTTTCCCAATAGAGAAGGAAAAACAAGAACATACACAACCTATCATAGATTTGTCAATTTTCAAACCGACCCGTTTTTGTGGGTCTTGAACAAAGTTTTTTTTTTGACTCGTAACACGATATAATCCAAACCCTTTAAACCAATAAATTTGCGTGTCAAACCCGACTCGAACTCGACCAGTTAGTTCGAATTTATGGGTTTTTTTTCTTTTTTTTTAAATTAATAAGTTCATTTATTTGAAAATTATTATTAATTTATTAACTAAGTTTGATTGTTTGTCTACCATCGCACATTCATTATTTCATCGCTTTCGTTCTCATTTGTCCATCTCATTTAACTCTTGCTCAAATCCACACCAATCACCTCCTACACCAATCATCCGTATAACCCACATCAGAGTCATACCATCGATTGATTGATAGGTCTACTGATATTATGTTAAGAGATATTATAGTCCACCTATATAATTATGTTGTTTCTTAAATTTTGGGATGTTTAAAAGTTTTATTTTAACAAGGGATTTTAACGCACTCGATGCGCGCAAATGGCTAGCTCTTTGAGGAGAATTATCACCGGTGGCCTTTATGCCTGATGCTTTATTTCATGATATTTCATTATATCTATTTGCATAGTAATTTTTAAGTACTTATTGATATGAATTGAATAAATTTAACAAGTCATCATACAAATACACACTTAAAATTTTTGTACTCCATAAGATAGTGTTTATATTCCAAATAGAAAAAAAAGGAATATAAACAACTTTAAGGCTTTTGAATTCAATGGGGGCATTTATGTAAAAGAACATTTTTAGGGATATAAATGTCCATGCACTATTAACAGTATTCTTATACTTTTTATAAGGTAGGAAAGTTTGTTATATATTAGTTAGAAATCTTAGAATTGGATGTGTTTTGGTGAAATGTCGACAATCATAATTATGTAGTATATAATGGCTAAAAAACATGGTGATAATGATCACTAAAAAAATTGAGAAAAAAATAAAAAAAATAGCAAATTAAGCTTAAAATAATAAATAAATAAATAAAAATAAGCAAAAAAAATGAAATTGTTCTAAACACTTTGGGTTAGAGTTAAGCATTTCTCGACACCCAGAGTGACCCGACCCAAAATAACCGTGACTCAAGTTGACCCAACTCGAACCCGACCCGTTCAACAGATCAACCTATAAATAGTACTCCCTCCATCCCATTATTTCGTGCCTTTATTCCTATTTGGGTGTCCCAAAATGTTGTGCTTGTTTTTTAAAATAGCACATAATTAATACTTACTTTTTATGTTTCTCATACAAAATACACATATACATACCCAAAAAACCATTATTATAATATTGTTAACCTTTTGTTATTCCCATACAATGTTCTCTATTTTTTAGCTTTCTAATAATATATTTTTCCTACCTTCAACATTTTTCTTCATTACTGTGTTTTTGGAGAAATATGCATAAAATAATGGGACGGATTGAGTACACAATAGCATATATTAAAACAAGAGTATCAAAACTAGGGATGAGCACAGTAGGGTACCCTGTAAAAATCTCGAGACCCGGGATCGGAACCTGTTGCAACAGGTTCCTAAAAATAGGTTTCGGTTCCGGAACAGGGTACCCTGTCTTTCAAAGTAAGCTTAATAGTTACTTGGCTGTAATAACAAATACTTATATTAATACTTTCTTCGTTTTTAAACACTTGTTCCATTTCTCCATGCGCGGAGTTTTAGGAGAAATAGGAGAAAATAATAAAATATGGAGGTAGTAGGGTAGGTGGAATTATAAAAAATTATAAAAAGCAAAAGTAGCTATAGTGGAGAAAATTAGAGCAGAGAGAACATGAAATTAATAAAATATGATTAATGGTGGGTCAACTATGTGAGAAAAATTAATTAAATATTGTACAAAATTTCCAAATAAGGAAATGGAGCAAGTATTTAAAAACGGTCGAAAAAGGAAAGTGGAGCAAGCATATAAAAACGGAGGGAGCTGAACTGAATTGAAAATAAACTGAACTGAACTTATTAATTAGTGATTTTTAACTACGGATTAGTGATATTTGATTATTTATTATTATACATATGTGTATATACAAATATACATATTAAAATATTTAAGAAAAATATACTATATAATTATAATAAATATGAAAAATATATTAAAAACATGAAACCCCAAAACATTTTAAAAACATATACTATTTAATTAAAAAATAAAATATTATTATGACAAAAGAACACAAAGCACTTTTTTTTTTTTTTGAAACAAGAACACAAAAACACTTTGTAAAAATTAACACAATTAAAAAAAAAAAGAAAAGTAGAAGCTGGAACGAAATTAAACACAGCCAACTCCCCAACTGTATACCACTCTCATTATTATTATTATTATTATTATTATTATTATTATTTTTTTTTTTTTTTTATTATTATTATTATAAAATAACAAAAACCTACAAAGTCAAAAGATTTACAAGAAATTAGTGGGGAGCCGAGATACAATCTGGGCCCCCACCCCTCTAGCTATAGCGAACCCAATCCTGTTAAAGATGTGAGCAGCCGCACGAGCTCCAATATCCTGAGTCCTAGCGAACGCCTGAACCCGCTTCAGCAACGCAACGTCATCCTTCTCTAATTCCCCCAATGAAGAAAAGGAGAAAGGAAGAAAACCATAGCCAATAGCCCTGCAACGCGCCCCATACCCGCTTCAGCAACGCAACAACATCCTTCTCTAATTCCCCCAATGAAGAAAAGGAGAAAGGAGATACTCTCTTTTATTATTATTATTATTATTATTATTATTATTATTATTATTATTATTATTATTATTATTATTATTATTATTATTATTATTATTATTATTATTGTCATTGTAATAAAAGAGCTTAAAAAGAATGAAATTTGACTTTATATCATTAACAATATCATTAGACATAAACTGAACTGAAATTTAATGTATGAGAAATTTAATGTATGAGAACATGCCCTAACATTAATTAATCCATTAAGAGTAAGATGAAAAATAAATAAGAGGGAGAGAGGTAGGTAACAACTTTTATACAATTTTGATATATGGCTTTTAAACTTGATCTTAAATGATAGGTTTCAATTTTATGTATCCTATAGGGAACCTATACTACAGGGTACCTTACAGATTTCAGGTCTAAAATTTTATTACCCAGCCTTATAGGTTCCGATTTTAAGTTAGGGTACCTAAATTTTTGCTCACCCCTTTCAAAACCGCATAGAAAACTAAACCTAAAGAGGTAAGCACGAAAAGGGGATTAAACGCCTATTAAAGGTGAGCGCCGGTAACCAGAACACTTCGGAAACATAACAAAGAGCAGCAAAGGAAAGGGAACGGAACATTTAGAAACCGGCGACGACTCGGAGAAGAAGCCGGCGAGCAAACGGTGACGCAAGCAAAGCGGTGATGGTTATCCTCATCACTTAGAAAGAGAAAGTCGGGTTTATTGTCTTCGGCCAAAAAACAGGTAAATTTGTTTCTTGTTGATTACTCCGTAGTTGATGTTCCAAATAAATTAAGACTCCCCTTTCATCTTCCTCTGAAAATTCAACCCTCAATTTTATTAAATTATATTAAAGTTTTTATCTGATGATCAATCAACTAACAACTACAATTGGATGTTTGTTGGATTGTTATTTTTATTTTATTTTTATTATTATTTTGCAAATTCAAACCCTTCTCAATCCGCGTAATTATTTGTTATTTTATTTAGGAGGAGCTAGCTATGTATTCTACAGGCATAATACCATATAAAAAACAGAGACTTGCATCAACAACAACAAGTACTAGTAGTACAACAATTGAGGATCTGAAAGATGATGAAATTGTTGAGATTTTGATTAGACTTCCATTAGAATGCGTCTTCCGTTGTAAGTGCATCTCCAAGCGATGACTGGCTTTAATATCACATCCTTGCTTCATCACTTCCTTCATTGGACGACGCCAAAACTTGCCTTTACGTGATCATCTTATAATTTATCAGGTTTATCTTGAGGATGATTGTGTATCAGATCATTATGGTCATCTACCAATGCCCCTCGTATTTTATCCACCCAACATTAGTGATCAATATCCAATTTCTGATCCAACCGGTAAATTCTTTGATTTCACTTTCTGTTTCTTTCCGTTCAATTTGGAAGATCGTTTCACCAGCTTTGGATTAGTGAGGAATTCCCGTGGCTTATTATTATGCAAGGGAGAATTAATCATGTCGCGTACATCATCTCCACAGTCATCCCACCGTCAAAGTGAATACTACGTATGTAATCCACTTACAAAACAATGGTTGAGAATTCCTAAGTTGGATCGTCGAATGAGTTTTAAAGTTGACTATGTTGGGTTCACTTGCTATGCCTTGGACACTCGCCTTCCTCATAAGGTTGAGTTTGTTGTGTTGGAGGTTGAGAAGAAAAGGTGGAAAAAAGATGAGTTTTTCTACACTCGTGTTTTTTCCTCATTGACTGGCTGTTGGAGCGTATATTGTGTAGCTTGCTCGCCAGGTCCAAGTTGGCCATCGAGAGAATCGACGGGGATGTATGGTACTGATTATGATACTGATTTATATGATTATGGTACAATTGCTGTCTACAAAGGGATGTTCCATTGGAATGGTGGTTCATGCCTTATAGCATATGATCCACTAAATGAACCCTACAAGTGTAGTTCAATTCCCATCCCTGAAGAATTAGCACATAATGGTAGTCGTGTTGAGCTAAGTGAAGGGCGTATCTGAATGGCTACCTATAGTTTGAAGAACTCGGGCATTGCAAGAGGGACATATTCAGTTTATGAACTTACAGACTATGACATTGGCAAGTGGGATTTGAAGTTTCTTATAAAAGGACCCATTTTAAATATGCTTGTTTGCTTCTCCAGCCAAACCAACGGAGAGATCATTTTTATGAAATGGTTCTGCAGCAGTAGAAGAAGGAAGTTTGTGCTCTATAATATGAAGAGTCAGTCAGTTGTTGGTGATTTTGACATACCTGAACACCCCACATTGCCTCGTCTCTCTTTTTCAGCTGACTCTTTTCTGATGACTGCATGGCCTACTGTAATTCCTCAACTTCCACATAATTTATAACTATTCATCACAAAAGAGTCAGTAACCTTGCTCATCATAAATTTGTGCTATATGCTATGTAATTATTGATCACATGTATTTTTTTTTATTAGGAACTAAGCTCTTCAATTTGGTAGTGCGTTTCTCTTGTATGGTTATGAGGATTTTCAATAATTTTGCTATTTGCTTTCTTAAATATAAAGGTTTCATTAGATTATCCCTAGCTCACAACTATTGCACACCTTCTCATTTTTGTTCCTAACTTTCCTTAACTCACTTTATACCTTACTATTGTATTCTTCTTTTTTTTTTTTATTTTTTTATTTATTATTATTATTATTATTATTATTATTATTTATTTATTTTTTATTTACTTTTTATAAAAAAAATTTATTTTTTATTTCCAAATAATTGAATGGGGAAGATCTAGTATCGTTTTTATGATGAATGAAACATGATATGGTATTAGTGTTTATGAAATATTATATTGAGACTGATTTATACATGGGGCATCACTTATGAAGTGTAGAACACTAGATGGAATTTGTTTGTTTGAAGGCCTCTGTTTGCTTGGCTACTCATCTTCCCCCTCTTTTACTTATGATGTCATATGGCTGTTACACACTTATACTATACCAACTGTCCAATATGATGTCATATACTTGTTCTTAGAATTTTGTGTCGGTCTCTTGTGCATAAACTAATATGTCCACGTAGCATAGAAATTAGCCCTTGGTATGATGGTGATTTAAAGTGTTATAGAACAATAGTTGAATGAAATTTTTATATACATCGCTTTTCCACAGTTTCTAGTATTGCAATATTGCTGCAGTCTTTAGTCTATTGTACAACTTCTTCTCTATCTGCACTAAAAGGGAAAGTCAAACAATCTTCTAGGGTTCAGGGAAATAATATATAGACATATTAAAAGTGTTCTTCATTTCTTGTTTCTCCCTTGACTCATGATGCCCTGCAATTCAAAGAACAGTTGGATCCTCAAATTCTTGAATTTTGTTACATACACAAGCCAAAGGGATGATCTTTCCTAGTTGCATACCCAAGTCCCACTACAAACAATTGGAACCCCTAAAAGAAGATATTAATTTTCCTTCAATGCCTAGAGTGTATTTCTTGTTTATTGGATTGGTCCATGTGTATTGCATTGAATCCAACCAGATTATCTAGTTAATTATATAACATTGGACGTGGATTAGTTGACTTGTCTAGTTTAGGTCTCTAGTGAATAAATACACTTTGAAGCAAGTCCAAAGTATGTTTTTTTTCCCTTGGTGTATTTCCCGCAGGGTTGTCATTCCTGCTTAGATCATTATATTAATTACATTTACAAGTCATTCATACATACGAAGAACTCAACCGGTAAATTTTGTCCTACTCATTATGCATATAAATTGGGCTTCTATATATTGGTTTTTTTATTCTTCCTTAAAGGGTGATGGATGGAGTAATTACAACTTTGCAATATGTAGGAATTTTCTTTGGTTTGGAAATTTAGTTTGTTTTAGGTATCATGGTTATAAAAGTAAGAAACAGGGAGATTTAGGCGTTCATGGTATCTACCTTTCGAACATTGCTGCAAGTGGTAAGCATATCTATAATATTGCCCAAAAGCAAGACAACTTATGAATGAAATGGGCTGATCACAACCATGCAATATAAAAAACAAGGATGGGAAGTTAGTTTTTATTTGAATCTTGTGCTTTCCCATAAATCCTCCTTTTTTGGCCTCACAAAGTACCTGATTTGCCAACTCTCGGCACTTCCAAGCAAGTCTACATCTCTTCTCTTGCTCTTCTCAAGATGTTTAAACAAGGTAAATCTCCCCTCATTTGTGACTTAATGTTTTGATTGATGCAATTTGGTAACCCATATTATATTTTTTGTGGGGGGAATTTGCAGGAAGAGAAAGAGTTCCAATGAAGGTGATGGGGTTGCTGTTGGGGGAGTTTGTGGATGAGTACGCTGTCATGGTTGTTGATGTTTTCTCTATGCTGCAAAGTGGGACTGGTGTTAGTGTTTGAAGTTGTTGACCATGTTTTTCAGACTAAGATCTTTGATATGCTCAAGCAAACTAGAAGGTATTGTGATTTCTTGTGCTTTTTGTTTGTTATAAACTGTTATGGATGCGATGAAGTTTGCGATTTGAGTACAAAAGAAGTTGGCTATGTTAGGGTTTTTCGTCAGAGTTGTGTGATTTTTTGTGGATTTTGGTGGAGAAATCTGTTGGATGTATGCTTCTTTGATTTCACTTGAAGTGGTGAACACTGGTATCTTCTAGGTCATCAAAGTTGGGGACTTTGATGAGGGGGAAATATTGTAAGGTTCCAAAATATATCCCATCTTAATTGCAACAAGCCAACAATTCCTTTTTTATTGGAAACAGTTGTCCTAAATTTAATCGAATTTAGGGGTATATTAATGTTTGAAATTGCGTGTTTGATTAACTCAGGGGCCACTCTTGATTTTACCTTGTGTGCCATAATAGGTGAAGTAAATTGTATTGCCATGTTCTTGGAAATTAAATAGCATCGCAGCAGGAAGTTATAGAATAACAGTATTCATATTATAATTTCATCTCAACTGAATGAGACTAGCTTTGTTTTAAGCTTATATTTCAATTTAAACTGTTGTATGGAAGAACATTTGGGATGTAATCTTTTATTGAAAGTATGAGTTTTTCTGAAGGAAGCTTTGATATGCCTCAGAGTATTGTTACAGTTCCCGTCTTTTTGATTAATTATGTTCAGTAACCAACAACTATTTTCATCTTTAGCATAGCTGATCCTGAAGCTTGGACTTTTCAGCTCACCCTTCTAACGTAACCGCTGTAGAAGCTACAAGAGCGGCTTTGTATGTCATGATCTCTGTGAAGATGATCTCATACTTTTGGCTTGCGGAGATAAATATGTTCTCACAAGGGTTCTTAGCTCATTGAAGAAGTTACTCTTTTGTTTGCAATAACTTGGAAAGAACAAAAGTTGTGATGCTATAGGACTTACTGGCATTTTAGCCAAGTTTTAAAATTCTGAATTTTGGGAACAAGGTAAAAGGAAAAAGAAGGGAAAGGACGGAAAAAGGAATGGGAAGGGGAACTGAAGCTCCATTTTCCTTCCAAATCTCTCCGATTTTGGAGGGAAATTTGATATCTTCCTCTTCCTGCCCATCCTTTCCCAAATCCTTTATCCAAACATGGGATTATTGTTCCTGTTCTTTTCCCTTCCTGTCCATTCTTTAATTTTCATCTTTTTCTTAAAAACAAAGTATTAGGGAAATGATGATGTCTATTTTAGATCTGTGTGCTAATAATAAATTCAGTTATATTATAAACTATCATAATTTGGAATAACTGCTTGCAATAATTGGGGATTAGTTGGGGTGAGGATTGAGATGGTAGTGAGGAAGAAGGTATAACAAAGGCATTATTTGTAACAGTTGTAGGGGTAGGGTTTTGTTTCGTTTTTGTTTGTTTGTTTGTTTTTTTTTTTTTTTTTTTTTTTTTTTTTTTTTTGTGTGTGTGTGTGTGTGTGTGTGTGTTTGTCTGTTTGTGTGTGAAAGAATTGCAGGGGTAATTTATTTGTCCTTAAAAGGAAGAAAGGGAGCTTGGCGGCTGGGTTAAATTGTGGTATCAGTCTATCAGATTACTTATCCCAGAATTGTTCAGGCTTTACTATCAAATTTCTATTTGCTTATTGTAACCTAAATTGCTACATCTTCTCTCTTATAGAAAAATCTCTTACAATTATTCCTAAAATGGAAATTAGCTCTTATATAAAGTTTGCAAGATTGAGCAAACTAAGAGTGAGGGGTGTTAGGTTTCAAAAAAAAAAAAAAAAAAAAGCATATTGTAAGAACATTGTACATCTATCTTTAGATTCTTCTGAGTCATGTTAGTTTTACTTTGATTTGAATTATGATTGTATGTAGTTTTAAATGCCTTTTGGCAAGTCATTGTTATACAGGGCCAAAAAAACAGCATAGAAGCTCTGAGAGTTCCGTATATAATCTTGAGGCAGCATGCTGCTAAACAAAAAGGTTATCATTTGCATATATATGTTGTTTCACTTGAAGTTCTGGTCGCTCAATTTTCGCTTTCGAACAATGAATTTTCCCCCTTTTCTCTGCAGGGGTTGTTTGCTTGTTGTCAGCCGTTCTTCCATAGTGATCCAACAAGCTTTGTTGATGTTGGAGGTGGTGTTTTTAGGTTTGATGATGTATGATATCCTATTACATCCTGTCAAACGAACAGGACATACAATATAACACAGAGCAGTTTTTTAGGAAAGTTGTGAGTTTACTTGTGTAGATGGATGTATTATAGCTAATTTTTAGTAGTCTTTTAGCTGTTACTTTTAGTTGAATTTCACAAATGGAGTCAGTCTTTTTATTATTCTCACAAACCTTTCTTTGCTGCAGGTTTTCCTTGAAGATTCAAAGCATACATAATGGTGGATCAAGCTTCTTAATTGCATTATGCTGGTGAGATTTTTACCAAAATATTTTGCAGTGTGTTTGGATAAATGGAAATGCAAGGAAAAAGAGGGAAGGGAGAGCGATCGATGCAATTTCTTTTGTTCGGATAAAAATATGGAGGTGAGGGAAATGAATGGAAGGGATTAGGAGGGATTTATGTAACAAATCTTTTCAAAATTGGACAGATTTGGAAGGATATTGGTAATAATAATCAATGACATTGAAGACCAAATGTCAGATTATAACTCCGACCACCTCTGTCATTAGCACCATCACATCGCAGCCCCGTTATTGCCTATGCTGCCACCGTTATTTTCCAGGTTTCCAATATCTGCTTTATGTTTTAATCATATTCTTCTTTTCCTCGGTTTTTCATTTGATTTCTGTTTAAATTATGTTGCAAATTTTGCTGGAAATTCTGCAATTCATAGATTTACAATTGCTGCCCCCTTTTCTTCTTTAAACATATCTTCTTTTTTTTAATTATTTTTTTAATAGTTAGAAAGGGAAAATGTATAAGACCTAGAACGTCTTCTCCCTCACTTTCTCTCACTTCTACTGTTATCCAATCATGGGAGCAAAAGAGTTTTTTCCCTTCCCCTCCTTTACCTCCTCTTCCTCTCCCTCTTCTTCCCTAAATTTCCTTCCAATATTTGTGTGTCCAAAACACACTATTACAAATTGTCTGGATACAGAAAGAGGAAGGAAAAGAAGGGGAGGGAAAGTGATGAATTTTATTGTCATATCTTTTCAATTGTTGAAGTGATCAATTTCTTACAATTCAATTCCTCCATTCCCCTCCCTTCTTCATTTATTATACAAATGAAGGATAATACATCCCTTCATTTCCCTCAATTCAAATAAAGTGTTAATGTAGAAGGAGTCACTCATCCTCGTTGATTATCTATCTTAAGCACTCAAAGTTTCTCATTCATCCATTTCTTCTTTGCCCTTTTTAAACTTATTCCTTTTTCATCTGTACATGCATTGCCATGTTGAAACTTCCACAACCGCTGTTTGTCACTATCGTTAGAAGGCAATTCCACTTTTTCTTCTGAACATAGGACCAGACTAGATTAGTTTCCCCTTTAAAACTTATTCCCTGTTTATCTGGACATGCATTGTCATGTTGTAACTTCCATAAACGCTGTTTGTCACTACCGTCAGAAGGCAATTCCACTTTTTCTTCTGAACATAGGACCAGACTAGATTAGTTTCCCCTTTAAAACTTATTCCCTGTTTATCTGGACATGCATTGTCATGTTGTAACTTCCATAAACGCTGTTTGTCACTACCGTCAGAAGGCAATTCCACTTTTTCTTCTGAACATAGGACCAGACTAGATTAGTTTCCCCTTTAAAACTTATTCCCTGTTTATCCGGACATGCATTGTCATGTTGTAACTTCCATAAACGCTGTTTGTCACTACCGTCAGAAGGCAATTCCACTTTTTCTTCTGAACATAGAGCCAGACTAGATTGGTTTCTGATGCAACTAGAACATTTTGCCCCCTTACCATTATCCAGTGCTGACTCTGCTGAGTAAGCTTTATAACAAAAATCAAACTTTGATTAACAGGACTATTTCCTACTGTGATTATTCTAGTAAATTTAGTATTTTCCTTATATCATGTTTCCAGCAGCATCAGTTACGCGCTGGTGGGCACTGGGGATGGTCGGATGAGGAGTATGGGATTTGAGTGGACGGACAAGAATGTGATGGGCTTTTAGTAAAAGTTGATGGAGATGATTATTGCCTTACTGATGGTGTAAAGGTTACTTTGATTGTGATGAATGATCAAGAGTGTTACTACCATGTCAAATAAAGAAGGGAGGAGGGAAGGAGAACGATAGAAATTATAAGAATCATCAACTATTTAAGCCATGCTACCTATATATATATATCCTCTGGTTACCTACTTGTTAAAATCAGCTTTCATGTAAAGTGGGATCCACCTTTTTTCATCACATAAACTTTTTCTCACATTTCCTACACTTTCTTACTTTTACTATCCTTCTATATCCTTTTTTTATGACATTTGATCATATTTGGCCCACCCCTACCTTTTCTGTTAGAAGTGCTGTCCAAACTAAGATAAATTTTGGGTGGATGGAGGATTTGTGTTCTAATGTTTTCTGAGATGTCCAAGTCAGTCAACATGTGTAGTCTCTGGTAACTGATTATTAAGACTCTATATCACGTATATGAGATTTGGGCCACTGTGGTTTTGCTGATAAGGGAGGAGTAGAATGTTGCCCAAATTTTCTTCATTACCTTGACAAGGCTTTCAAATGTGGAATTGATTGATGTGAGCCTCTATCAAGGTGTCAAATATGCATATCCACGCTCTTAAACCTCTATCGATGAGTGTTTATGTGAGTAGTTATTTTGAAATGACTTGGGATGTCAGATGATTAAAATGTTCCATATATCTCATTTATCATTATGCTAGGTGGATGGGATGCCGCATTTATGCTTACAACTACTATTGGTAAAATGTTGTGCATATATTCTATTTGATTATGCATACTTTGCTATAGCCATTGTTAGAAGTTTCTGTTATTCATGCCTTTCAAATTTCACTGTCCACCAAGTTTGCTAAGTTTATGCAATTCAATATTATGCTTTGACTTTGTTTGATTATTTCAATATATAGTTTCAATATTTAGTTTTAAGTTTGGTGCTGATGCACCACAGGTTCTCTGAGCATCTACATTGCATAATATGTGTAATGCTTTTAATTGAAAAGCTTTCTGCTACTGAAATTGGGATTTTGTTTGTAATTTTGATAACAACCATAATAACATAAATAGGAATCTGAATAGAAGAGAGTAGAACTCAATTTAAGGATGTAAACACTTCATATTTATTTTTTTTGTTTGTTTGTTTGTCGTAGTAGTAGAAGTAATAGTAGTGTGAGCTTAAAAATAGGATTTCAGCTATATTGGGGATTTAGTCTGGCTTTCTTCCTTTCTCTCTAAATTAGGCTGTGTTTTGATGCTTTTTTCCGTTATGGTCTCATAATTTCTTGTGTAATCATTATTTTTAGAAGAGAACTTTCTAATATATTCCCCTGAAACTGTTTATGCCTTTTCCATACAGCACATGTCTCTATTTTGTCATTCCCCTGATCAGATTTCCTCTATTCCCAACTCCATCCTCCATAATGCTTCCTTCACTTTATTTGGCTTATTTGAACTTGCGAATTCCATTCAAAGAACAATCTGATCACTTGTAGTCTCTTGACACTTATCGTTGTTTATTTGCAGAATCCATACAAAGTCAACATAATTCTAGCTGGTTTTGACCAAGATACTGGACCATCACTATACTTTATTGACTACATAGCAACTCTTCACAAGGTAGATAAGGCAGCATTCGGCTATGGTTCCTACTTTGCTCTCTCCATGATGGACAGGCATTACCGTAGTGATATGTCCGTTGATGAGGCCATCAAACTAGTTGATGATTGCATAGTGGAGATCAGGACTAGGCTGGTTGTAGCTCCACCTAATTTTGTGATCAAAATTGTTGATAAGGATGGAGCTTGTGAATTTGCCTGGCGCGAATCCATTAAGGATCAGGTTGTTGCAGATGCAAATGCAAATGCTGCTGCTATTTCTGCTTCTGCCTGAGGGTATGTAGTTGTTCAATAGTGAAAAATGTGTCTTTTATACTTTCAGAAGGTGGTAGCTGTAATGTAACAGGATGATTTACCATGTTTAAAACTGTATGCCCTTACTTTGGAGTTGTCATCTTGAGATTTTACCCCACTGTTATCATTAATGCTGAAATGGTTATCAAATTGATTGATCTGGTTCAATTATCACCATGATAATCTTAATTTGTCTGAGAATCGTGGAAGGTTGAGTGAACATCTCACCATCTCCATTCTACAGATCCCTATTACTACTCTACTTTGTTGGAATTCTGAGCCTCGCATTATACGACTACAAAGTGCATGTTGGTATGATTAACGTTAAGGAAATGGAATGTAAACAAATAAAGAGAAAGGGTAATACAAAGTGTTGCCATTATTTGTTGGTTGATATGCACTTGGAGGCTAGGGGAGGTAACAATCTATACTTAGGCCTTATTTGGTTGACATTCTAAAATGGGGGAATTGAAAATTCATGAGAATTGAAAATTCATGGGAATTGAGAAAATGAGGAGTTGTTTGGTTGACATAAGAAAGCAAAAATGGGGGAAGTGGGAATTCACGGGAATTTCAACTTTCCACAAAACATGGGAAGTAAATTACCTAGCCCCCCTAGGTAAACCAAAATTCATGGGAATTCTAATTTCCCTTATTGCCAACCAAACACATTTAAGAAATTCCTAGGAATTTCATTAAGGAATTAACTTCCCATGAAGTATAAATTCCTATGGGAATTAAATTCCCACATCAACCAAACAACACCTTAGTATTTAAAAAAAAGAAAACTAAAAGAGACATATGTCATAATTCTAATTATACTTCCCTATCTTCTTCTTCAACTCAATGTGCCACATGTCGTTTTACATTTTTTATTTTTAATTATACAATTTTTCTTAACTCTTTAATAAAACAATTCATCTTCATCTCCCCTCTTTAATTCAACCTTTTTATTTTCTCTCGTTGATTTTAGTCCCTCCAACTTTTTTCTATTAAGTCTCATTTCAAATTAAAGTCCCAAAATTTTTATTTCTTTAATTATGTTTTCATTTACATATTATACCCACAATTATTTATTGGTATTTCCTCACTCATCTCTCAATACAATTTTCTATTAACAAGCCGTGCATTGCACGGGTTAGAAGGCTAGTTGAAAGTTAAATGGTTACCCGTAGGAAATGGAGTGATTAAAACACCTCTTAATCCAAAACAATAGGTAAAACAATGGTTAATTGAATCTATGACCACTACTCAAAAAGAAAAAAAAAAAAGGGTTTTTCTACATAGTTAGCCTGTGGTATTTACTTTTCCAAGCTGTGTCCTTTTTTCAAACTTCCATGTTGTAATCTTAAAGTACATTAAGGGCATGTTCACATTTACTGAACTAAGATGAATTGAACTGAACTGAACTGGACTGATTGGAGCTGAATTGAACTGAACTGAACTTTATGAGAGAAGGAAATTAGGAACTGAACTGAACTGAACTGAACTAATTGGAGCTGGACTGAACTGAACTGAAATGAAATTAAGCTTAAGTGAACAGACCCTAAGTGGTTACGTTGTAACCTTGGCGTTAACCTTCTGTTAGATATTGTTGTTAGTGGGGCCCACTTTACACATATTAAATTTTTTTTGTCTTGATTTGCGTACTACAAAAATGTTTTGTTAGAGATTTTAGGGGTCATTTTAACCCTCAAGACTCCAAATTGAGCTCAGATTCGGAAAAAAAATTACGTAGAAATCCTATTTTGTGAATCTGAATTTCCGCAGTTAAAATTAGAATTTACAAAACGTGTCTTTTACGTTTTTTTTTGTCAAATCCGAGCACAATTGGACACTTGAGGATCAAAATGACCCCTAAAACATTTAACGGGATATTTTTTAGCACGTAAAATCGAGAAAAAAATATGAAAAAGTGCAAATTGGGACCCACTAACGGTGACCGTTAACGGTAGGATAATGCCAGATTGCCAGCAAGGTTACAACGTAATCACTTAATATACCTTGAGGTTACAATGTGGAAGTTTGAAAAGGGAGGGGCACAACTTGAAAAAGAGAATACCACAAGGTTACTATGTCATGACAAAAAATAGTTGCACACAAATTAATACATTTTTTTATACTTAAAATGAGTAAGTTACATAATATTTTTGCCAATTTTTAGTTCAATTCGGATCCCTAGGAGCTAAAAAATTGATTTGTATGGCAAGATGTTTTACTTTTGGGCTGCAAATTGCAATTATTTTTTTAAATGACTACAATTTGCAATTTTTTTCTTTTTAAATAGCTGCAATTTGCAAAATACAAACTTTAAATGGTTGCCATTCACAAATTTCCTAACAGATAAGGAAAACCAAGAACATACACAACCTAAACCAAAGGACTATAGATAGACCTGCCAATTTTTGACCCGACCTATTTTTGTGGGTCTTGAACAAAGTTTTTTGACCCGTAACACGATTTTACCCAAACCCGTTTAACCCATGAACTTGCGTGTCAAACCCGACCCGAACTCGACCCATTGATCCGATTTTATGGTTTTTTTTGTTAATAAATACATTTATTTGAAAATTAATATTAGTTTATTGATTAAGTTTGATTGTTTTTCTACCATCCGACATTCATTATTTCATCACTTTTGCTCTCATTTATCTATATCATTCAACTCTTGCTCAAATCCACACCAATCACCTCCTACACCAATTATCGACCCACGCTAATTGCATCCATATAACTCACATCACAATCATACTATCGATCGATTCACAGGTCCACTGATATTATGTCATTATGTCAAGAGATATTATAGTCCACATATATAATTATGTTGGTTTCTTCCTTAAATATTGGGATGTATAAAAGTTTTATTTTAAAGTTTATTATCATTTTTTATTAGTTAGAATTTGATGTGCTTCGATGAAATGTTGACAATTTAAATTATGTAGTATATATTGGCTTAAAAAATGTGGTGAAAATGTTCGATAAAAAAATTGGAAAAAAAAAAGCAAATTAAGCTTGAAAAATCAGAAAAATTTTAAAATAAGTCAAAAAGAAAAATTAAATAAAAAGTTGTCGAAACTCGTTGGGTTGACCCGAACCCAAAAATTTGGGTTAGAGTTGAGCATTCCTCGCGCAAATTATAAGGTGGACCATAGTCCACCTTACTCTATGTGGTCCACCATTAGATTAACGCCACGTGTTTGCTAGTTGTAGTTTTCTTCTTTCAAATTCTCAATGTTCTTCTTCTGCTATTTAATTTCACTGATCTTCCCTCTTTCAATTATTTCCTAATTTCTCAATTCCCTCTCTTCAATTCTCTTTTTCTTCTTTTTTTTAATCATCATCCATAATTTCTCTCTCCTTGATTTTCCCTCTCCTTAATTTTTCTCCATTGCTGATTCCTCAGTTTCCTTATTGAATTTGTTCATCACTGCTGTTCATCGCCAACCTCGACACTGTAAGTTAGATTTCTTATTTTATTTGATAATTATCACTAATTAGGTTTTTTGTTGTTGATGCTAGTTATTGATTTTTCAATTTGTTATTGATTTTTGAGTGATGATTTGAATTGATCGTATAATTTTTAGGTTTAATTAGTTTTAATTTCATATTATTCAATTGATTAATTGATGAATTGATCAAATGTTTGATTAATTTTAATTAAGTTGCTGAAATTAGTGATGAGATTTTGATTACAACTGCAGAATTCGTTTAATATGATTCTAAACATTCGGTTCATATGATTACTTAGTGAAGAATTTATGTGATCAATTTCAAAGATATTCATATATATTATTCAATTGATTAATTTGATATTTAATGTTAATTAAGCTACTGAAAGTGTGTATTGAATTTGATTCTTGATTATAATTGCTTTTTTTTTTTGAATGATTTTCAGTTTCATTTATTATTTAATTGGTGAATTGATGTTTTAATTTGCATTTTATGATCGAATATAATTTTTTTATATCATGTTTTTGTACATTTTGTTCATATAATTCGAGTAACGCACTTTTTATTGTATATATTATCAAAATTGTTATTAGCAGTATCATATTATGAACATTGTTTCTATTTTTATGAACATTTAGGTTACTTTAATGAACCTTTCCGTTTTACATAAATCTCTGAGTATGTATATATGCTTTTTAGAAAATAATTTGTAAACGTAATTATGAACATTTTTTTTCCTGTATTTGAGCTTTGTTGTTTTATTTTTGAACTCCAGTAATGGTTATTATGAATTGTGTTTGTTTATTGCAGTTATAACATATGAATTTGTTTGTAAGGAAAGTCCAAAGGCCGAGCAACATTCTGAGCAGTATTTTGACGTGCATAAGTTTTTGAAGGATGTTCAGTAGTTTGTGGTTGGGGTTCAGAAATTTTTGTAGGGGGTTCAGATATTTTTGTAGGGTATTCAATGGCTTGTGGTTGGGGTTCAGAAGTTTTTATACGGGGTTCAGAGGTTTTTGTAGGGTGTTCAGTGGTTTGTGATTGGGATTCAGAAGTTTTTGTAGAGGGTTCAGAGGTTTTTATAGGGTGTTTAGTGGTTTGTGGTTGGGGTTGAAAAGTTTTTATAGGGTGTTCAGTGGTTTGTAGTTGTAGTTCAGAATTTTTTGTAGGGTGTTTAGTGGTTTGAGGTTAGGGTTCAGAAGTTGTAGGGTATTCAGTGGTTTGTGGTTGGGGCTCAAAAATTTTTGTAGGGGGTTTAGAGGTTTTTGTAGGGTGTTTAGTGGTTTGTGGTTGGAGTTCAAAAGTTTTTGTAGATTGTTCAGTTGTTTGTGGTTGAGGTTCAGAAGTTTTTGTAGGGGGTTCATAGGTTTTGGTAAGGTGTTCAGCGGTTTGTGGTTAGAGTTCAAAGGTTTTTGAAGGTGGTTAAAATGTTTTTGAAGGGTGTTCTGTGGTTTGTAATTGGGGTTCAGAAATTTTTCTAGGGGGTTCAGAGGTTTTTTAGGTTGGTTCAGTGTTTTCTAGTGGCTTATCAGAAAATTCTGGGAGTTTATCATAAATTTATTGGGGCTTTTAGGGGATATTCAAAAGTTTCTTTAAGGTGTTCAGTAGTTCGTCTATAAATAAATATTAAACAACAAAAGAGGAAATACACAATATCCAAATAAATCATTATTCATACCAAATAGTATATATGAACACAAATTATTGCTTCATACATCACATATATATGGACATAAAAGACAACTTATATGAACATCAAACAGGAAATATATGAATAAAAATATGAGGGATATGGAACGATTAACATCAGATTTGCTAATTTTATTGCACAATCCACCAAAATTGGTTAAAAAGATAAAAAAAAAGAAGCAAATTTTCATTTTTTAACAAAATACAGGATGCTTTATATTAAAGTGGATAGAGAAAGTAGAGTTTTTCCCATTTTTTGTTGAAAATTTTAGAGCTTCTAGTAATTTAGAGGTAAAAAAAAAAAAGAGAATCAAAATTGTTAATGAGGAAAACAAAAAATAATATCCAAAAAAAAAAAAAATGGAGAGATTAAAATCGAAAATGGTTGTTTATAGTTTTAATTTAGATTTTCAAATAATAAAGAGAATATCAAAATTTAATGGTGAAAAATAAAATAAAAAAGGCTGGGCTTCTTTCTATTGGGCGCGGGCTTCTGTTGGGCGCAAATACTTTTGGGCTGGCAGCAGATTGGGCCTGGTGCACCTATTTGGTGCATGTAATACACTAATACCAATTGCATTCCTCGATTTGTAACTCGACTAAAAATAATCCATGACCCGAGGTAACCCAACTCGAACCCTACCCATTCGACAGGTCTACCTATAAATAATACTTCATCTGTTCTTTTTTACTTGACCTGTTTCTTTTATCACGCTTGCCAATGCAAAACTTTAACGATCAACAACTTAAATTCTCCATAAGTAAAAATTATAAAAGTTATATATTATGATAGTACTTATTGAGATGAATTCAAAAATATCATATATGAATATATTTTTCCTTACATATTATTCACAAAAGACGGTCAAAGAAGGGGTGATGAATAGTGTAAAAGTCAAAGAGGGTCAAGTAATAAAGAACAGAGGAAGTAGGTCATACGTAATAGCAGAGATTAAAACAAGAGCATCAAAAAGAGAAAACTAAACCAGAAGAGGTAAGCACGAAAAGGGGATTAAACACCTAGGAGTTGTTTGGTTGACATTCTAAAATGGGGGAATTGAAAATTTATGGGAATTGAGAAAATGAGGAGTTGTTTGGTTGACATAAAGAAAGCAAAAATGGGGGAAGTGGGAATTCACGGGAATTTCAACATCCCACAAAACATGGGAACTAAATTACCTAGCCCCCCCTAGGTAAACCAAAATTCATGGGAATTCTAATTTCCCTTATTGCCAACCAAACACATTTAAGAAATTCCTAAAAATTTCATTAAGGAATTAACTTCCCATGAAGTATAAATTCCTATGGGAAATAAATTCCCACATCAACCAATAAACACCCTAGAAAAGTTGAGCGCTGGTAACCAAAACACTTCGGAAACATAACAAAGAGCAGCAAAGGAAAGGGAACTGAACACTTATAAACGGAGCTCAGCTACAGTGCCAACGAGTGACAACTCCGTTCGATCTCCTACATCAGCCATACTTTGAAAGAAACAGGTAAATTTGATCTCACTTTTATTTTATTTTTTTTAATTTTTGTAAACCCCAGATACTATACATATGAAATTAAATTAAAAATTGTATCTGATGATCAATCAACTAACAACTACATTTGGTCTGATTTGGATATTCTAAATCTCTAGGTTGGATTTTTATTTTTATTTTCTTTGCTACATTACTTTTGTATTTTAATTATTATTTTTTTTAATAATTATTATTGCAAATTCAAACCCTTCTCAATCCGCATAATTATTTGTTATTTTATTTCTTATTGACTTCTAATCCGCATAATTCAAACCCTTCTCAATCGTAATGGTCTGTTACGTCAAGGTAATATATAAATAATTGGCCTCATAATAAAACTTTCCATCAATCTGTAGACGGAAAAGGAGGAGCTAGCTATGGATTCTACAGGCATAATACCATATAAAAAACGGATATTTCATCAAATGCCACTGACAAATTTAAAAATTCATCAAATGCCATTGCACTTTTCAGAATTCACCAAATGCCACTCACAAATAGTAAAATGTCACATCGTGCCATTAATGAGGCCTGGACGTTAACAGTCCGTTAATGGGATTCCTAATTCACCAAATGCCACTGAATATTTTCTAATTTCACCAAATGCCATTACTTATTAAAGTTATTACACAATATACCTCTAAAGTAACGGCTATTTTTTTTAACAATTTTGAATTATTGATGGGGCAAAATAGCCATTGCACACACATTCTTGTATAAATGTAAGCCTTTAAAAAACTTTTAAATTCTGTTTTGAAATTAGGTGTATTGATGAAGTGAAAAACATGTAATTGAGATGAAATTGAATAAAGTGTTTACTTGAACATGTCTTCCATATATTTCTTCCTGTTTCAATCATGTTCATCCAAAAAATTAAGGCCACTGTTGCCAATGTATTTGTCTAAAGTTTACACAATATTTCCCAAAAAAATACCATCACAACACAACACACATTGGAATTATATTGTTCAACAACTAGACTACATTAACCTAGGTTGCTGTGCAGTGAAAAGTGTAGGGGTTTGGAGCTCAAGCAGCTTTCTTTGCTCTCTTCTTGGACCTTGAAGTGCTTGCTTCAGCTTCTGCATTGTTGTTGGTTGCTGCAGTTGTTGCTTCAGCTGCTGCAATCTTTTTCTTTGCAGCACATGTCAACATGTTGTGCCCCAACTCCTTGCATAGGCTGCACTTAATTGTGCTATGCCTCTTCCCTTTTCTTGCTTCACTTGCACCTCTTCTTCTCTGCTTCTTCTTAGGTCTGCCTGCAGATCGTTTCACTGGGGGTGGTAGTATGTCAGGCAGGTTGAAAGAAGGCCACTGGGTTTGGTCAGGCATTGGGTGCATATGCTCAGCATAAGTGCTTTTGTATGCCCTCCCTTTGAAATAAGGTGACACAAAATCTACAGCCTGCAGCCTTTGGTGGTAAATCACCCTAAGCACATGCTTACAGGGGATCCTTAAAAGTTGCCACTTTCCACAACCACAAGTTCCAGCCCCAAGTTTAATGGGAAAGTGCACATGTTGATCCCTCACCTCAAACTCATCACCCCCACATGGTGTAGCATAGCAAAACCTAGACTCATCCGATCTTGTTTGCAAGATCTTAGTAGCATACTCAGTGAGCTCTCCATCTCCCATTGATGTTGCTTTATCAAACCTTGGAGCCATCCTACTAATGCACCATTGCCTAATAGCTGCAAAATAGAAATCAATATAGAAATTACAGTAAAGAAAGGTAGAAATTGCATTTAGAAACTGACTTAACAGCAGAGCAAATTCAATTTTAAACCTTCAAGTAGCTTTATCACAGGTAGATCTCTGTATGGCTTGGTGCAAGATTTGAATGATTCCACAAAATTTGTTGTGTTATGGTCACAACAAATTGCTGGCTCAAACTGATGCCTTGACCAAACCTCAGTGGTGCTGTTCAAGTAATGAACAACCTTTGGATTGTAGGCATGAATCTTCTCCATTGCTTTGTTGAAGACATATGGATTGTAAGCATCAGCAGCAACCCAAAAGAGCTTGTTAAAAGCTGTTCCACTAAAACCATTTGTTTTGCAGTTGCTGTACAAGTGTTGACAGCATATTCTTCTACTGGCTTTGGGGAATGTCTCCATAATTGCTGCATCAACTCCCTGCATAGGAATGTAACTAGTCAGAAGGGAGAACTTTGCCCTTTGGAAAAAAAAATCACAGCAAATTGAGAGTTACCTTCATCCTGTCAGAGATAAGAGTACAATTATCTCTGTTGCATCCCTCTTTCTGAAAAAGGCACTTCAAATTCCTCATAAAATAACCCCAAGTCTCAACACTCTCTGTGCTTACTATGCCATAAGCAAACACAAAGATCTCATTGTTCCCATCAATTTCAACTGCTGTTAGCAGAATCCCCTTATAATAACCACTTACATGGGCCCCATCAATGCCAATGATAGGCCTACACCCTCTCAAAAAGCCTCTAACTTGGGAAGCAAAGGAGAAGAAGCATGCCTTGAACCTAGGTTGGACATTTGCAGATAATTGTGTCCATGTCACTAGTGCATAACTTCCTGGATTGGTCTCTTTCACCATCTTAGCATATCTTGGAAGGAGACTGTATGCCTCTCCAAAGCCACCATGAATCATCTCCTTGGAAACTGCTTTCACCTTGTAAAACAACCTTTTTTTCACATGAATTCTGTACCTTTCCATACAGATTCTTTGCAAAGACTCTACTAGAATGTCTGGATTGGCTTGAATATGTGACTGCAGATGTCTGCAAAGCCAATCACAGCTAACAACAGGGTTTACCTCAAGCCTGCCACAGGTTGCATGCTCCCCTGTCAATGTCTTGATTGCCCAACTAACTTTGTCAGGCATTGTTGAAGCATGAATTCTCCAGTTGTAGCCATCAATAGCACATCTTGCTATAAACCTTTGAGGGTCACTCTTTTCAACAAAGACTCCAAACCCTTCTTGTACACAAAAATCCTTAAAAACTTCAGTGAATGACTATTTGTCTGGAAAAATCAACCATGGCTCTAGTTTAATGCTACCAAATTCACAGTGTCTCCAAACCTTGCCATTCTTGTATGTTTTATCCATTGCTTGGCTCCCATCAAGATAATCTTCAAATTGTTTGTCTAGGATGTCATCATACAAGAATTCATATTGTTCCTCTTCTTCTATGAAGTCCCCAAGATCATCAGCATCATCAAAGTCTTCACTACCAGATTCTATGTAATCTGAGTCCTCACTGTCATCATCATCAGATCTATCATCCTCACTACTGTCAACCCTAGCTGGATCCCTCCTAATTCTTTCAGATCTCCTTAAACTGACCCTCTCATAGCTTCCCCCAGCAACCCCTTTCCCACTCTTCTTTTTTGTTCTGAACCCTAGTGGTCTTGACCTTCCCACCTTTTTGGATTTCTGAGGTGGTGGAGGTGGTGGAGGTTCAGATGTTTCTGCTTCAGGTTCAACTGCTACTTCAGTGATTGAGGTGGTGGGGTTGTTCTTGGTTCAGGTGAAAGTGGTGGTTCAGGTGTTGGGGTTGTTTGTGGTTGAGGGGAGAGTTGGGTTCTTCCAATTGACCTTTTTTTGGGTGTTGTTTTTTTCCTTTTTTGAGGAGTCCTTTTTTTGCTTGCACTTGAAGATTTGGGTTGGTTCATAGGAGAAGTTTGTTGAGGGTGTTTAGGTGGAGTGGAAGGCTGTGTACTCTGTTCAGGCTCAGGCTCAGGCTGAGATGCCCCTGGGAATACCTCATCAGCTCCTGGAGTGTCAAACACTCTAACATACTCCATATCACCACCATCAACATTAGCAACAGGCACCTCAACTGCAACTTTAAAAGGTTGCTGTTCCTCCAACTCTCTCTCAGCCTTGGCCTTTTCCTCCTCCAATCTAGCTTTATCAGCCATGGCCTTAACCCTTCTTTGCCAATTAGCCTCAGCATCCTTAAACACCTGCCTAGGACTTTGCTCTTCCTCCAAGAATATTTCTACTGTCTCCTTCCCTTGAAACCACTCCCACATTTTAAGCATGTCCCTATCCTCAGCTAACTCCAACTTCCTATTAGTTCTAGGTGGCAATACAAACAAAGTGAAGCATTTGGGAAGAATCACATTTTGTTTCACAGAATCCTCAAACATAAACTCATACAAGTCCATTAGACTTGTTCTGTCAGTATCATCAACCAACACATCAAAGCCCTGATCTCTGTAATGGACATCAAGCCACACTCTACTCATCCTATCATCAACAAATTACACATAACATCAACACACATCATTCAAATTCACAACCATATACCAACACATCAGTCATATCACAAAACAACATACCAACATAACATTGACCAAATTGAATTTCAAGCACTTCACAAACCCAAAATTCATATCAATGCAAAATCAATACCCACAAATAACCATCTTTAACATGAATTTTAACAATAAATCACACAGGTCAAGTCAAATAAGCGCATAAAACTGATCATTTCATAAAACCCTAACCCTAACTCATTTTTCGATAAAAAATTCAGAATCAAAGCGCGAAATGAAGATCGAAAGGGAAAATAATACCTTGATTGCTATTTCCAGCACCCCGAAAAAAATTTGAACTCAACTATTTTCCTTGTTGTACCCCGAGTACAATTCACCGACTTTCAAGTTCGCCCAAGTTCAACAAACGATAAAGCGTCAATGTAGTTGCGTCTGTCGTTCAGGTGTTCGAAGAAAGCTTCTTCCTTGATTATGGTTTGAAGGTCTGAGTGTTGCTGAAAGGTCGAAGAACAGGGGAAGGTTTGAGAAGAACAACGAGGGAATTTTTTTTATTTTTTTTTTATCTAAATTTTAGAAGTCAGAGAGTCAATGCACTTTAGGGCGCCATAAAAGACAATAAGGGCATAGAGGTCATTTCGTGATAACGGACTGTTAACGTCCAGGCCTCATTAATGGCACGATGTGACATGTTACTATTTGTGAGTGGCATTTGGTGAATTCTGAAAAGTGCAATGGCATTTGTTGAATTTTTAAATTTGTCAGTGGCATTTGATGAAATATCCGTATAAAAAACAGAGAATTGCATCAGCAACAACAACAATTACTAGTAGTACAGCAATTGAGGATCTGAAAGATGATGAAATTGTTGAGATTTTGGTTAGACTTCCATTAGAATGTGTCTTCCGTTGTAAGTGCATCTCCAAGCGATGACTGGACGACGCCAAAACTTGCCTTTACGTGATAATCTTATAATATATCAGGTTTATCTTGAGCATGAATGTATATCAGATCATTATGGTCATCTACCAATGCCCCTCGTATTTTATCCACCCAACATTAGTGATCAATATCCAATTTCTGATCCAACCGGTAAATTCTTTGATTTCACTTTCCGTTTCTTTCCGTTAAATTGGGAAGATCGTTTCACCAGCTTTGGAGTAGTGAGGAATTCCCGTGGCTTATTATTATGCAAGGGAGAATTGATCAAGTCGCGTACATAATCTCCACAGTCATCCCACCCTCAAAGTGAATACTACGTATGCAATCCGCTTACAAAGCAATGGTTGAGAATTCCTGTGTCGGATCATCGAAGGAGTTTTAGAGTTGGCTATGTTGGGTTCACTTGCTATGCCTTGGACACTCGCCTTCCTCATAAGGTTGAGTTTGTTGTGTTGGAGGTTGAGATTAAAAGGTGGAAAAAAGATGAGTTTTTCTACACTCGTGTTTTTTCCTCATTGACTGGCTGTTGGAGCGTATATTGTGTAGCTTGCCCGCCAGGTCCAAGTTGGCCATTGAGAGAATCGACGGGGATGTATGGTACTGATTATGATACTTATTTATATGATTATGGTACAATTGTAGTCTACAAAGGGATGTTCCATTGGAATGGTGGTTCATATAGCATATGATCCACTAAATGAACCCTACAAGTGTAGTTCAATTCCCACCCCTGAAGAATTACCATATAATGGTACTCGTGTTGAGCTAAGTGAAGGGCATATCGGAATGGCTTCCTACAGTTTGAAGAACTCGAGCAATCCAAGAGGGACATATTCAGTTTATGAACTTACAGACTATGACATTGGCAAGTGGGATTTGAAGTTTCTTGTAAAAAAACCCATTTTAAATATGCTTGTTAGCTTCTCCAGCCAAACCAACGGAGAGATCATTTTTATGAAATGATTCAGCTGCGGTAGAAGAAGAAAGTTTGTGCTCTATAATATGAAGAGTCAGTCAGTTGTTGGTGATTTTGACATACCTGAACACCCCACATTGCCTCATCTCTCTTTTTCAGCTGACTCTTTTCTGATGACTGCTTGGCCGACTGTAATTCCTCAACTTCCACATAATTTATAACTATTCATCACAAAAGAGTCAGTAATCTTGCTCATCATAATTTTGTGCTATATGCTATGTAATTATTGATCACATGTATTTTTTATTAGGAATTAAGCTCTTCAATTTGGTAGTGCGTTTCTCTTATATGGTTATGAGGATTTTTTTAATAATTTTGCTATTTGCTTTCTTAAATATTGAGATTTCATAATAGATTATCCCTAGCTCACAACTGTTGCACACCTTCTCATTTTGTTCCCAACTTTCCTTAACTCACTTTATACCTTACTATTGTATTCTTTTTTTATTTTAAAATAATTGAATCGGGAAGATCTAGTATCGTTTTTATGATGAATGAAACTTGATATGGTATTGGTGTTTATGAAATATTGAGAGTGATATACATATATATATATATATATATATATATATATAGGATGATCAGCCACACTGGGACTGAGACACGGCCCGGACTCCCACGGGGGGCAGCAGTGGGGAATCTTGGACAATGGGCGAAAGCCCGATCCAGCAATATCGCGTGAGTGCGTTCCTCCTACTTTCCAGTTGCCAGGGCGGGTAAGGTTCGGTTGCGAGCTTATATATATATATGGGGCATCACTTATGAATTAAAGAACACTAGATGGAATTTGTTTGTTTGAGGCCTCTGTTTGCTTGGCTACTCATCTTCCCCCTCTTTTACTTATGATGTCATATGGCTGTTTCACACTTATACTATATCAGCTGTTCATATATGATGTCATATACTTGTTCTTAGAATTTTGTGTCGGTCTCTTGTGCATAAACTGGTATGTCCACGTAGTATAGAAATTAGCCCTTGGTATGGATGGTGATTTAAAGTGTTATAGAACGATAGTTGAATGAAATTTTTATGTACATCGCTTTTCCACAGTTTCTAGTATTGCAATATTGCTGCAGTCTTTAGTCTATTGTACAACTTTTTCTCTATCTGCACTAAAAGGGAAAGTCAAACATTCTCCTAGGGTTCAGGGAAATAATATAGAGACAATCCTTTCTTTTTTTACAAATGATGAGCCTTTAGACATATTAAAAGTGTTCTTCATATCTTGTTTCTCCCTTAACTCATGATGCCTTGCAATTCAAAGAACAGTTGGATCCTCAAATTCTTGCATTTTGTTACATACACAAGCCAAAGGGATGATCTTTCCTGGTTGCATACCCAAGTCCCACTTCAAACAGCCGGAACCCCTAAAAGAAGATATTAATTTTCCTTCAATATTGCATTGCACTGAATCCAACTGGATTATCTAGTTAATTATGTAACATTGGACGTGGATTAGTTGAGTTGTCTAGGTTAGGTCTCTAGTGAATAAAGACACTTTGAGTTTAGTACGAAGTATATGTTTTTTTTCCCTTGGTGTATTTCCCGTGGGGTTGTCATTTCTGCTTAGATCATTATATTAATTACATTTACAAGTCATTCATACATACGAAGAACTCAACTGGTAAATTTTGTCCTGCTCTTTATGCATATAAATTGGGCTTCTATATATTGGTTTACTATTCTTCCTAAAAGGGTGATAGATGGAGAGATTGCAACTTTCGAACTCAACCGGTAAATTTTGTCCTGCTTTTTATTTTATATATGTAGGAATTTTCCATGGTTTGGAAACACAGTTTGTTTTAGGTCATCTCCAGTTGCTTGGGACATGGTTATACAAGTAAGAAACAGGGAGATTTAGGCATTCATGACATCTACCTTTCGAACATTGCTGCAAGTGGTAAGCATATCTATAATATTGCCTAAAAGCAAGACAACTTATGAATGAAATGGGCTGATCACATCCATGCAATATAAAAAAACAAGGATGGGAAGTTAGTTTATATTTGAATCGTGTGCTTCCCCATAAATCCTCCTTTTTTGGCCTCACAAAGTACCTGATTCACCAACTCTTGGCACTTCCAAGCAAGTCTACATCTCTTCTCTTGCTCTTCTCAAGATGTTTAAACATGGTAATTCCAATTTTCCCTCATTTGTGAGTTCATGTTTTTGATTGATGCAATTTGGTAACACGTATTATATATTTTTTGGGGGAAATTTGCAGGAAAAGAAAGAGTTCCAATGAAGGTGATGGGGTTGATGTCTGGGGAGTTTGTGGATGAGTACGCTGTCATGGTTGATGTTTTCTCTATGCTGCAAAGTGGGACTGGTGTTAGTGTTTGAAGTTGTTGACCATGTTTTTCAGACTAAGATCTTTGATATGCTCAAGCAAACTAGAAGGTATTGTGATTTCTTGTGCTTTTTGTTTGTTATAAACTGTTACGGATGCAATGAAGTTTGCGATTTGAGTACAAAAGAAGTTGGCTATGTTAGGGTTTTTCGTCAGAGTTGTGTGATTTTTTTTGTAGATTTTGGTGGAGAATTTGTTGGATGTATGCTTCTTTGATTTCACATGAAGTGGTGAACACCTGTATTTGAAGGAGTGTTATCTTTTAGGTCATCAAAGTTGGGGACTTTATCAATGCAATTGAATGTGAGTGTAATAGGAGATAGATTTAGTGGTATAAGCATAATTGTTTGAAACTGTGTGTTTGATTAACTCAGGAGCCACTCTTGATTTTATCTTGTGTGCCATAATAGGTGAAGTAGATTCTATTGCCATGTTCTTGGAAATTAAATAGCATCGCAGCAGGAAGTTCTAGAATAATAGTATTCATATTAAAAATTCATCTCAACTTAATGAGACTAGCTTTGTTTTAAGCTTATATTTCAATTAAAACTGTTGTATGGAAGAACATTTGGGATGTAATCTTTTATTGAAAGTATGAGTTTTTCTGTAGGAAGCTTTGATATGCCTCAGAACATTGTTGCAATTCCCGTCTTTTTGATTAATTATATTCAGTAACCAACAACTATTTTCATCTTTAGCATAGCTGATCCTGAAGCTTGGACTTTTCAGCTCAACCTTCTAGTTGTAACCGCTGCAGAAGCTACAAGAGCGGCTTTGTATGTCATGATCTCTGTGAAGATGATCTCATACTTTTCGCTTGCGGAGATGAATATGTTCTCACAAGGTGTCTTAGCTCATTGAAGAAGGTACTCTTTAATTTGCAATATCTTGGAAAGAACAAAAGATTTGATGCTATAGGACTTACTGGCTTTTTAGCCAAGTTTTAAAATTCTGAATTTTGGGAAAAGGTAAAAGGAAAAAGAAGGGAAGATAAAGAGGAGGGAAAGGACGGAAAAAGGAAAGAGAAGAGGAACTGAAGCTGCATTTTCCTTCCAAATCTCTACGATTTTGGAGGGAAATTCGATATCTTCCTCTTCCTGCCCATCCTTTACCAAATCCTTTATCGAAACATGGGATTATTGTTCCTATTCCTTTCCCTTCCTGCCCATTCTTCAATTTTCTTTTCTTTTTTTTTATAAAAAAAAAGTATTAGGGAAATGATGATGTCTATTTTAGATCTGTGTGCTAATAAATTCAGTTATATTATGAACAGTCATAATTTGGAATAATTGCTTGGAATAATTGGGGATTAGTTGGGGTGAGGATTGAGATGGTAGTGAGGAAGAAGGTATAACAAAGGCATTATTTGTGACTCTTGCAGGGGTAAATTTATTTATTTATTTATTTTTTTTTTTGGGGGAAAGAGTTGCTGGGGTAATTTATTTGACCTTTTATAGGGAGAAAGGGAGCTTGGTGGCTGGGTCAAATTGTGGTATCAGATTACTTATCCCAGAATTGTTCAGGCTTTACAATCAGATTTCTATTTGCGTATTTTAACCTAAATTGCTAAAATTAGCTCTTATATAAGTTTGCAAGATTGAGCAAACTAAGAGTGAGGGGTGTTAGAATTTTTCTTGATTTGGTTAATTTATATTGTAAGAACATTGTACATCTATCTTTAGATTCTTCTGAGTCTTGTTAGTTTTACTTTGATTTGAATTATGATTGTATGTGATTTTAAATGCCTTTTGGCAAGCCATTGTTATACGGGGCCAAAAAAAACAGCATATAAGTTCTGAGAGTTCTGGATATAATCTGGAGGCAGCATGCTGCTATACAAAAAGGTTATCATTTGCATATATATGTTGTTTCACTTGAAGTTCTGGTCGCTCGATTTTTGCTTTCTAACAATGAATTTTCCCCCTTTTCTCTGCAGGGGTTGTTTGCTTGTTGTCAGCCGTTCTTCCATAGTTATCCAACAAACTTTGTTGATGTTGGAGGTGGTGTTTTTAGGTTGGATGATGTATGATATTCTATTACATCCTGTCAAACGAAGAGGACAGACAATATAACACAGCAGTTTTTTTTTAGAAAAGTTGTGAATTTACTTGTGTAGATGGATGTATTATAGCTAATTTTTAGCAAGTCTTTTAGCTGTTACTGTTACTTTGAGTTGAGTTCACAAATGGAGCAAGTCTTTTTGTTATTTTCACAAACCTTTTTCTTTGTTGCAGGCTTTCCTTGAAGATTATTAAATAAATAATGATGAATGTCAAAAGAATACTAGTTATAAGATTGTTCAAATAAGCCAAATAAAAGGAAGGAAAGCATTATGGAAAAGGCTTGTGAACTTGCCTGGCGCGATTTATTGAAGATCAGGCCGTTGCAGATGCTAATGCTGCTGCTGTTTCCGCTTCTGCCTGAGGGTATCTGGTTGCAGTAGTAAAATTTTTTACTTTCTGAAGGTGGTAGCGTTGATATAACAGGATGATTTACTATGTTTAAAACTGTATGCCTTACTTTGGAGTTGTATTGAGATTTTACCCCACTGTTGTTGATCTGGTTCAATTGTCAACATGCTAACCTTAATTTGTCTGAGAATCGTGGAAGGTTGAGTGAGCACCTCACCATCTCCATTCTACATATCCCTATTGCTTGGCCTTCCAGCTCTACTTGGTTGGAATTCTGAGGCAGCAGCCTCACATTATACAAAGTGCACGAAAAGGAAATGGAATGTAAACAAATAAAGAGAATGGGTATTATAAAGTGTCACCATCATCTGTTGTTTGACATGCACTAGGAGGCTGGGAGAGGTAACAATTGAAAGTTACTGGTTACCCCTAGGAAATGGAGTGAATTACAATCTCTTAATCCAAAACAATAGGCAGTGAAAATGGTTAATTGATTCTATGACCACTACTAAAAAAACGAATACCAAACATGCCTTATTGCTAGTCTTCTTGTGGTAAATAAAATTTTGCATCAGTAGAATATAACAACATTTAGTTAAAATTAAAACTCAAGTTTGACTCTGCGGTAAAAAACCTCGGAAACATGGGAAGACAAGCATATGTAACCAGTAATATCGATACATTATTATTTATTTAACAGTAGGGAAGTTAAACATTCACACTACTTATTGTACATTTTTCACATTCTTATGTTGACCATGCTTTAGAGGCCGGCAAACTCCAAAAGTGAGATCAGGGCATTCTGCTGTCGTTTAGGCCCTGTCATGAAGTAAGATTTCTGCTGTTTCTGAAACATCTCTTCTACCTCTCTTGCTGGCATATTGAAAGATAACTCCATCGCCTCTTCATCTAATTGATTTATTATATTGTCCTGCCCTGCTCGAATAAAATACAAGTATAACATTAAACACACATGAACCTACATCATTCTTATCAATTAGGTTATAACCAGTTTACCTGCAAGGAAGTTTCTTTGGTTGTCTTGGGCATTAATACCAAACCCAATGGTTCTAAGGCTCTCATTCTCTGATGCAACTAAAGCAAGAGGGTGGCCAGCAGGAACAACGAATACATCGCCCTTAGACAAGGGGGATCTGACTTTCTCATACCTCTGGCTGCTACCTTGTTTCTTATTACTTTCATTATCTGAGTGAGGGCGTGCAATTTCAAAATATCCACTCCCTTCCTCCACTAGCACAATGAATGTTGTTCGAGAATTATAGTGTCGTGCCATCATTGATCCCTAGTAAATCAAATAAGCTTAGAGTTAGCTCATTATTATTTGAGTAATAAACATCAACAACATCAATCTGCAAGTACATATATTTTTACCTGTTTGATGTCACAATAAGCAACCGAGACATCAAGATCTTCGAGTAGTTGATAATCATTTGGAGTAACTTCATAGAACTCCCCATGTTCATTGGACATTTGTGGACGTCCATCTAACAAACTGAATGGGCCTTTGGATGCTCCAAATTGTCGTCTAGGCATCCCATGAGCCAACGCTCTCACTTGCTCTTGACTGGCTTTGACGATTGTACCTTTCTTATGTTGTTTTAACAGCTGCCCAAGCTGGTCCCTTGGTATCTAGCCACAAAGTTGAACCATTAAAGTTTTAATTTAGGTAAAAAATAAAATAAAAATAGATGATACTTAATGGTAAAGAACAAACATTCATAGCGGCTTGGAGGATTTCTGTACTGAAGCTGTTGAAGAACGATTTGGACTCTTCACCACCGATACCAAAAAATTGCTGCATTTAAAGGATTTATTTATTAATTACATACCTCACCATATATTCGAATAAATCTAAATGTAGCAGCGATACAAAACACGTTTACTATGTACCTGATAACGACCAGGAGTATTAACAGGGCGTAACAGCTCAGCTATTTGCAGCTTCTCAGATTTATGTGTACTAGTTAAGTACGCTGTGGTGCCTGCAGGAATCATCAGCACATCCCCATGTTCAAGATTAAAGGTCTCGCGGTTCTTTTGCTTCAAAAATGTCACAGTGGCCTTTCCTATAATTTCAGCCAAATCAATAAGCATGTAAAAGTTTAGACAGGAATTACAAAATAAATCAGCCATAGATTATAAAATTTTGTTGCAAGGAAATTAATTAAGTATATACCTTTAATGATGAATAGAACCGAGTCAGCATCCCAATGGTGAGGAAGCATGAAAGTGTTGGGATTCGCCTCGTAGAAGCCAACCCTGAATTTGTCAATGCCGAGGAGGAGGTCTGACTTCTCTGAGAATCTTTGGAGTACCTTCATGTGTCCTTCTCCAGTTGCATAGCAAGACTCAAAGCTCTGAGAGTCAAAGTAGTAAGGGTTATCACTCCCTTTGGCTTTTTTGTTATTGTTGCTGTGGTTGTCGAGGCTATTTAATCCTTTTCGATGGCCTCGTTCACCCTCTCGACGCTTGTGCCCTCCCCTACGTTGATCGAATTTTTCTTCACAACGCAATTTGCATTGCCTTTGTCGTGGAAACCCTTCCTGCCTGTCCTCACACTTTTTCAGACAATGTGTGTAATCATGTTCTCGTGGGTGCCTATCCATCCATGAGTTCAAGCAAATTAAACATAGTCTTTGCAATCCTTTGTACAAGCAAAATACGAGATTATATAATCTATATAAGCGGGGCTGGATCAACAACCTGATGTTTATTAGATGTCAATTATGCAAAGCACATTATTCATATAAAATCAAAGAAACAGAGAACAATGACATAAGTCTTTCATTGATATAAACCTTTCATTATTTGGATAGTTTTCATTATGCCGAAGATTAGAGGTTATAAAATCCATTGCAGTAACACTCACATGAATTTTTTCACCATCAGTGTTTGTAAAGAGTTAGCAACATAATCATCGAGTTGGGTATGACAATTATTCAGTATGAAAAAAGGTAATACACACTTTTAAAATCTTGTAAGTTAAAAGGTACTCAAGTTTTGAGATAGCAAAGCATGTAAATGCAACTTTGTAACATTAAAAAAAAAAAAAAAAAAAAAAAAAAAAAACTAATCAATAAAAATAACACATACATACGAAAATGTATTTCATGCATGGCTTTAATGATTAGCTACTGTGAGGTGTGATTAAATTGGCATGCTACATTAAATTTTCAAATTATACCATTTTCAGGTTACAGTATGCTCCAATAGTGCTCCATTTTGACGGGCAAACTTCCCAATTCATTACTTTGACCAATTACAAGTGTAGATATATATATATATATATATATATATATATATATATATATATATATATATATATATATATAAAGTAAGAGAAAATGAAAAGATAAAAGAAAACAAAGTATACTATTTCCAAAATAGATCAAAATACATACTTTAATCATTTTTAAATACTAGGGCAGCACACGCCTCACGCGATAGCTAGCCGCCTAGCCATATCCTAAATTCTTCTGATTTAGCATTACATCCAAATTTAGGTATTAACAGTAATATTGTGAGAAAATATGTAAGCAAATATGTTTAGGGATACCACTTATCCACACACTATTTAAAAAAAAACATTTAAAAGAGTATAATTAATGAGGGTATAATTATCATTAATGAGGTTAAAAGAGTAAATAAATATTTTTGAGGGTATAATTGTCCAAATACTATTGATTAAAAAAAATTGTACATATTAATGAAGGTGTGTATATAAATACACATTTTAAAGGGCACAATTGGTAGCACACTATTCATAAGAGTACTCTTGTACACTTTTTATAAAGTACTCGTATGGATTTGTTCCACATTGTTGTACACTAATTAAATGTTGTACCTTTTGAGATATGTGAATACTAGTGTGTGTCCAGTGCTCTGGATTACTAGTTTGTACATTGTACTTTTTTTAATTTGATAATTATGTTCAACAGTTTTATAGCTAGTGTATGATCTAGACGTTGTCTCAAATGTTACGGTTTTTTTTTTACCTTATGTATTTATTTTCTAATCTTGTAAAATAAATAAATTAAATAACCTCTAATTTGAAAGGAATATATAATGTTAATTACGTGAAATTTAAAACACTAATAAAAATTGATTGAGATGGTAAGTGCGTGTATATTTGTTGGTTAGAGATTGCGGTTTCGAATCATAATTTATTTATTTTGTAAAATGAAGTTGCAAGGAAAGCTTATTATCGCATATACTTTGAATAGTGATTGACATAGTGACATGGTGTTATATATGTTGGAGAGTGCCATGTGGCACCATTCCTTTAACAGGAACGCCTTATAGTATGTATAGCTAGTATAGATATATTCAAAGATACGAAAGATCAAAATTGTAAAATCAAAATAAATCAAAAAATTAAATGTTCCAAAACACGTACTTCGTTGTAACCATTGTTAAATGTATCAATTAATGTTCTCAAAGTAAGCATAGACAAATTTGTAATGTCAAACATGAATAACTTTTAGAGAGAAGCTAGTGCGTAGCCCTGCCTAGGTTACTATTTTTGTAGTTTTGCAACTGCTCCTTGTGTGTTTCAATGCTTTTGTATAGTATTTTTTTAGTATGCAAAATCGCAAAATTGATAATTGGCCTTAATGGTTAAAAGATGATCTTTAATTTCTTCTAAGAGGTCCAGTGATGTTTTGACTTTTTTGTCCAAAAAAAAAGTTGAAACAACATGGAGTACATAATAAGAAGTTGAATGTATGATATGACGTAATAGAAAGTCTACATCGCATATAAATGTTCTTTACAAATTCTTATACGTGGCTAGCCATATGGTGTGACCACTTCACAGAATCACATATAAGACAATTAATTAAGTAAAATAGGGGTAACGGTGATGAGAAAATGGAGTTACCATAACGTATGTAGGTTACTTAAATGAGAAAAAAGTGTTACTCTTCTAAATATGTGGAATTATTCTTTTATTTTTTTTAAAACAAAAGAATAGGGGTTACTTTGGGGTTACTTTTATAGACAATATAGGATTGCTCTTATAAAAAAAATGAAGTTACTAGCTCATACATATAAATAATAAAGATTACTCTTACAAACCAATGTGGCCACACCATGTGGCTAGCCACATATAAGACTTACCAATGTTCTTAATTATGTTTTCTTTTTTTAATTAGACTAGTATAATATATATATATATATATATATATATATATATGTATATATATATATATGTATATATATATATATG